GAAAATGAGTGTTGTATTCCTTCTGGCTCATGTCAGGCTTTGAATTCCCAAAATGGTAAAAGTTTTGTGTTCTACTCCTGCTAATTCATCTGTCTGATAGTCTCTTACAGTACATCAATCAAAGGAAGAAATTCAGAAGACGCTGGGTGGGAGCTCTTGCCTCTGTAACTATTCCCAGTGAGTATTTTTATATTATCTCTAGATAAGAAAACTGAAGAACTTTGGGGTTAAAATAATTTGCAACTCTTGTTGCTTCCAATTAGGGTTACCAGATTTAGCAATAAAAATACAAGACACCTAGTTAAATTTGAACTTTAGTTAAACAAGTACTTGTTTAGTAAGTATATGCTGTATAATATTTGGGACATACTTATCTAAGAATAAATTCATTTCTTTAATCTCAGATTCAAATTTAACTGGGCATCCTTTTACTGGCAGCCTACTCCCGACATCTGGAACAGCAGCGACATGCACGTACAGTGAAGTATATAGAACAGTGAGATATTATTGCAAAGGAAGCTGGCATCACCAGTTGCTCTGGTGTGCGCTGTCAGTGACTGCCCCAGCAAATGTGAACTGCTGGGACAGAGGCTGTTTAGATTACTAATGAGGCTATAAGAGCTTTGTACTCGTTGGTTTCTCCAGTCTTACAGAGTTAAAAAGAAAATCGGTACAGTGTCTCTCACATATAATAGTCAGTGTTCAGGAAATTTAGTTGATTACAAATGTCAAGGGTCAATTATAACTGAAAAGAGGGACTGGAAGAATGACAGTATCCTGGATTTATACAAAGAGAATGTTAGAAGTGGGGCTTATTCATTTTGGTCCAGTGCACAGATGAGGTGGGAGGGGGAAGAAATGCCTATATAGAAGAAAATGTGCCAAATAAATAATCAGCCTGTTCCCAGCAGCTCCTTATAAGTCTACTTTGTAAAAGAAGATAGCTTTTGTTTGTTTGTTTGTTTTAAGCATAAAAATGTTATTTACAGAAAATCTTTCTTTTTTGGAAGGAAGCCAATTTTAGGGGAAGTAGGAGAATAGATATGAGAGCTTTAATACTTTATTCCTCTCTTTCCTAGTTCATTTTATCTATGGGCCACTGGATCCTGTAAATCCTTATCCAGAATTTTTGGAGCTGTACAGGTGAGTCTCCCTCCGAGGACTTTGTTTTGTTAGTATCTCATCCTGACAGTGGCAAACAGGGTTACTTGTTTAGGGCTTTGGGCCTTAGCCACTGTCTTTGACCTCATTGACTATTCAGCCAGGAAATACATAATAAAAAGATGAGTTGGGAAATCTTATTCTCATGTAAATGTAAAGATCAAGAAATTTAGTTATACATTCTCTTGACTTTTACAGACTGTATTCACTGTCATGGCTACTACATAATTCTAGGTGTTCAGGTGAGAAAAAGTTGTCAGGTGAGCCAAAGAGTGGAAGCAGATGTATCTAAGAAATGTGCATTTTAGTCTGATTATAAAGCCAGTTCACTGACCTAAGGTGAGCAGACTGCAAGAGAGGTTGAGAAGCGCTCACTGTGGAAAACGCCCCCTCATTGGTTGGTGTGTTCCGGGTACTGACTTGGAAGGTGTTGGAATATACAGTCTTGACTGTCACACAGAAACGTTCCATACCTTCAGAAAGCCTAGTGGACACAATCTAGTAGTAAACAGCTCATACATAATTTTAAACAAAATACTCCTCTCTCATTTCCCTCTGGGATTAAGGAAGGTCTTTTGGTACCTTTGCTTGGGTAGCCAGTTGCTGAGTGCTGGACTTGTTTGATACTTCATGCTTCTCTAAGGAGCTGAAAGTCATCCTGCTTTGACAGGGTTGTAAAAGTGTTACATTTTCAAATTGTTGTTGTTGGATTATGCACATTTAAAAGCTAGGCTATGTAAATGGAATCAGCAGGTTTATCTGCCTAAGATACAGTCCCAGAGTTGAAGGTGAATATGGCCTTTGTCAGTTCCTTCCAGGGTGGTACATCCACAGGGGCATTTACTGGGGCTGCCCACTGGCTTACACCCCTCCCCCTCCCTCCAGCGTAAAGTTCACCTACGTGCTATTCTCTTCCACTAGGAAAACGCTGCCGCGGTCCACAGTGTCGATTCTGGATGACCACATTAGCCACTATCCACAGCTAGAGGATCCCATGGGCTTCTTGAATGCATATATGGGCTTCATCAACTCCTTCTGAGCTGGAGAGTAGCTCCCCTGTGTTACCTCCCCTACTCCCTTATCTGTTGTGTATTCCACTTAGGGAGAAATGCCCAAAGAGGTCCTGGCCATCAAACACTATTCTCTCACAAAAGTCCACTTTCCTCACATTGGTGACCAGTATAAAGGAAAAAGCAGCAGGAGCTCCAGTTCTAAGGGTTGACATAATAGCCCACCTCCCATGTGATACCTGATCGAGTGTATGGACTTGCGTCTGTCTTTGTGTTATTAGGAAATTCTATGGCTCACCACTGCAGAGAGACAGAAGTTCTTTGCATAAAAGATTTTTTTAACACTTCTGTGGACTTTTCTGAAATACTTAGAAGTGCTTATTTCTGGCCAAGCCCCAACTGGAATCCTACAGTAAAGAACGAGGAAGGAGGGCCTCCTAACCTCATTTTGAATGGCTTTAAGGGCACATGCTTTTTTAAAGTTCTCTAAGTAACATGGCTTCAAGTGAAAATGAGTCTCCCTTATAATTTTGGATTTAGTTTGATCAGCTGCTTTTAATTATAGACATCTTATTAAAATAGGTATTGGTTTAAGTGAGGTAATATTCTAAGTATGTTTAGAGGTTAAGACTGTGATTTACCTACACGTTACATATATTTTGTAGATTATTAAACCAGCAGACCCTTACTCTGTCAGAGTAGTGAACCTTACTAAAAATGTTTAATTTCTGAATAAAATCCAAACAACAGAATTTCCTAAAATCACTGGACATTAAGGACCAATTGCATTCTGTGCCAGAGACTTCCTGTTATTAGCTGGAAAGACCAGTTCTGACAGCAAATAGCAGTCCGACTCCTCATACCTCAGTGCATAGAAGCATGTCCCTCCTGAGCTAGAGCGGAGGGGAGGGGATTGTGGTGCAGTCCTCATCACCATGCTGAATGTACATTGATTCTTTTCACGACGATTGCTTAACTTCCCATTGGCTGTCCCAGAGAGACTGTCTCATGTAGCTCAGCAGTTCCTGTACTTTATAGACAGGAAGGTTCCAGAAATTATAAGAACAAAGTCTGAAAGACCTATAAGCAAATGGTGCTGAATACTTTTTTTTTTAAGCCACAGTTTCATTGTTTTAGTCAAAGCAGGATTATTAAATGATTAGTTTAAATTCTTTTTTTTTATTAGCAACGTCAAGTATAACAACTTATAAACTGGAATAAGTGTTTATTTTCTATTAATAAAAATGAATTGTGACAAAAGTGGACTCTGGCTTCCCCTCCCCCCAAACCCTCTGGGATAAAATTTTCCAACATTGCCAGGAACTTTCAGACACACATTAAATTAAAGAATAAAGTTAAGCAGCTGGAGTTTTGGATAGTATTTGATTTTCAAGATCACCCAAAGCTGCACTGTCATACCAAAGCTGACCAATTGTAAGAAAAAGGAAAAAACAAAAACAGAAAAACCCCATGCACAAGGACAGACATTTGCTTGATCTGCTGGCTCAGGGCCAAACATTTAATTTGCTTCTCCAAAGTCATCTTTAAGAAGTGTAAGTCTGTGAAATTCATGCCACTAGCCTAAAAGCCCACCGACAGTGAAGTGTACATCAACTTCTTGCCCAGTAAGACCTTAGCCAACAGAAGCCAAGATAACATCTACAGGTGTGCTCTCTTTGCTTCTGACAGTCACCTGCATGGTCACTCCATCTGCTAAGGCCAGCCTGGACCTGACCAATAAATCATAGCCACCTCTGAATATACCTGAGAAAAAAGTGAAAATGATGTTAAGAACTCAGAACAAGTCTGAATGAAATTTCTCATGCTCTGCCTGCATCTCCCTTCTATTATTTTAGTTTTGTCTTCTTAGAGATTTGTGGGAATTGAATCCTAAAGCCTAAATATATATTTTCTCATATGTCCCTGAGACCATAGAAAGTATTCAATAATACTGATTTAGAATACTTAAAAGGGGTGGCATTGGTATCTGTGGGAGAGATTTAGTGTTTCAGGTCAAATACACATCTTCAAAAAATAACCTAAGAGCATTCGAAACCAATTATTCATTTTGATTTGGTTTCAAATTGTTTGTCATATAATGGAGTGATAGGATAATCACAGGGCATGAGATGCCATCACATCCCTTCCTAATGAATTTCGTAATAAAATATATGAAATATATAATGGAAGTTTCTTACCTGCCAGGTAAAGTGAATGGGAATTCTTGTTCTCAGGTACTTTATCTGATCTCTCACATGGCTGCATTCCCAGAAATGTGATGATGTTGTTGACAGCTTCTGTGTTGAGAAGATTTATGTAACAGTAATAGCAAAGTCAGGTATAGGGATCTGCCTCTGTACCAGCAATGTGTTGAGAGGTGAAGGGTAGAAGGGGTTGGTGGTGGTGGTGTAAGGAAGGAGACTACTGGGCTGGAATACTGTGACTCAATTAAATGACTAAAAACTTTTTAATAAATTATTTATGAAGTATTTAAGGAAAAAGTTCTGGAATAACAAATATGCCTGTGGGCTTTTAAACTGTATCAGGCAGTAGATTGATAACAGAATTCTTCTTACCTTCAAGGGTTTTGGTAGAACTGAGAGCAAAGGTCTCCTCTTTCTCAAAGGTATCTCCCACTTCTTCCCAGGCAGCAGCAAAGTTAGGTTTTAGTACCTTCTGAATGTGGTCAGACACAGTTACTTCAAGATCTTCTAGCTATTGGGCAAAGAGCAGGGGTCAATAAATAAAAGTCCTTTCAGTGTGGAAGAAGTGGAAAGGACTAATAATAAGTTTGTATCATTCTGTGTTATAATCCTGCAGGAGCCTCAGTAATATCTACTCCCCAAACAGTTTAAATTCTATAGTCTTGATAAATCTAATGCTGTAGTCTTCGGCAAAAGAAAACAAGAAACTAGAATACCTGGAAAGAGTCAAATTCAGGTCAACATCTATAGCCCCAAGTTACAAAGTAGTCATGTTACCACCCCTAGTACTGATTTCAGGGCACACAGTACCTTCTGAACTTTGCATTCACAGACAAGTTGCTATTTTAAAAATATTTTCCTCAATTTTATAAAGGCTTCTCAGTCTATGACCTGGCTATATTATAAGCAAACTAAAAGTTGTTAAGGAAAACTCCCTCACTGTCCCCTCAAAAAAACGCAAAACAAAAGAAAATAATCATGTAATTATTTTCATCTCTTAATTATCCCTCATTAGTGGTAAATTTAAATTTTCTTTGACATGATGCAATTCTATTACAAAGGAGAATTAGTTCTCTCTTCTGAGAAGTGAAACCTCATAGGTTTATATCGAGTGTTCCTAAAAAAAGTGTTCTCTCAAGGCAGAAGTCACTTAGTGCTGGAGAAGTGTTGAAGTCTCTCTGCAGGGTAGACTCACCACATACTCATCATCATACCCATCCTCATCTGGAACTCCAGTGTTGGGGTCGCAGTCCCGAACTGTAAACTTCATGGTGCAGCTAAAGGTACCTGCAACTGGGGGAGAGAGAGCAGGCAAACTTGCATCAATGGGTAGAATAAGCACGAAGTCTCCATCATTACTTAAGAAGCACCATCTGTACTTGGCACTGTGCCGTGTGTTCACGTTAAACATACACATGCCCTGTTTTCTAAGGTAATGGTTCTCAAAAGCAGACTGCAAGTGGATCAAAAAGGCAGTCTCACCAAGTACAATTTAAAAGTATAGGTTAGAATAGTATTCAAAGATGACACGAGCAAACTCTGGTTTAGCACGTATGAAGAAAGTAGCAGAGGAAATAACTATTGGGGTCTTTTGGCCATGCCTGTCAAAAGGGCCTATAAGTTAAAAAATAAATGTGTTGATAAAGAACCACTGCTCTAGGACCTGATCTAGCAAAAAATTCTGATGGTAAAAAGCACACAGATTATTAAATTAACACTGACCAAGTATATCAAGAGTCTCTATACTATCTGTAGAATGTGGAATGACAGTGGGTCCACAGATCACAGAATGAACTTGCTTTATGTCATCTTTCAATTCAAAGTGAGTAGGAGAATAATGAGACTCTTAACTGGTAAAAGTCAATGTCTTAAAGTGTTAAAACAAGCAGGCAACTGAATGGAGAAAACTGCTGGAAGTAATGAGAAATGGATAGGAAGGCACTTTTTGGAAAGCGAAGTCCTCATAAAGAAGACAGGATTTTGTGAACATTTGAAGAGGGGATTTACAAGCACGGATGAAGAAAAGGCATTTAGGGTCTAATACATGGTCTAGAAAAAGGTGCTTATATGAAAAATACTAAAAACTTAGGAATTAGGAAGTTATTTGCAGAATAGGTAGACAGAATAGACTCAGATGTAAAGCCAATATATGACAATGAATAAGACTTACATCTGTTTAGTCTCATTTTTCAGCTCCTCTCCATCCATCCATCTATCCATCCAAACATGTAGTGAATGTCAGTCATGTTGACATTACGTGAAGGTGTAAGTTAATGTGCAAGCACTTAGATAAAAAGAGGGCTGAGACGGCTTTTGTCTCCAAGAGCAAATTGTCTAGTAGTTAAGGTAGTATATGTGTATGCAATTGATAGATCTATATATAACATTACAACTTAATACCATAGGTTCTTTGGTAGGAAGGGACTTCAAAAAGTTTGTGGGAAATGGAATTAAAGTATGAGTTAATTTTGTTGCAAAAGCATTTTGAAATGCATGCATAGTTTTCTCATAATACACATTTTCCACGAACTTTCTGAAGATTTCTTGTAGAGTGCTGTGTGAGGGTACAGGATTAATAGCCTGGGAAAACCGTGAAGAATGCATAAGGACATAATAATTTAATTAGATCTCAAAAGATGCGAAAGAGCTTTGGTAAGCAGAGGAAAGGAGCACAAGCAAAATGAACAGCCAGACAGTCCATGGGGGTAGTTGGAGAGTAAGAGGTATGCTGATGCACAGGTGCTACGAAGAGAATCTGTGAAGAACAAATTGTGAAACACCTTGTATTTCAAATGATTTTCTGCAGGCCCTGGTGAGCTGAGGCAGCTGAGAGAGTGAATGGTTGGAGATAAGATAGAGCCTAAGCCAAGCCATTGGGAATCAAGTGAAAAATGGGTCTGAATTTAGAGAACTTAACAATTCAATAGAATATGTGGAAAATGCATGATGGCAGTAGGTTCACCCATATAGGAAAGTATACCTAGCAAGACTGCAAAATCTTTTCACTGCTAGAAGAGGGTTTGGGAAAAGTACAATTTGTTAAATTAAGATAGGGTTTTTCTTTATAAGGAAGAAGAAAGAAGAAAGAGTTAACACAAACCCAGAATAGGTTGCCTGAGGTGTTTAAGGAAAAGAAAGATAAAAAGAGAATGAAAGAGAGAGAAAAAGGGAGAGAAAGAAGGAAGCAATATAGGATTTTGCTAGGGACAAAGGTCATGAACAAGTAAGAAGGAAGAGTCAAGGTAGACATGAAGTAACATTATATGAACCCCAGCTTGGTTCAGATTAAGCAGGAAGGTTACAGGCAAATGAGGAAGAGGACTAAAGAGACAAAACCAGGAACTAATGGTAGATCACAGACCAGATTCTTATGTAGAAGTGAAGACCCTAAGTGAAGTACATGATACAGAAAAATGAATCGAAGAAGTAAACAGGAATGGTGTTAGTAGAGAAAATACTCCTGAAACTGTTGGGGCAAATTTTTAATTAAAAGTTAGTTGATACAAAGTAAGGTTATAAGGCATCTAAAGTGAACTCCAGCCACTGCAGTAAACTGGGTGGTGAGGAGAGGAGGTGAGTGGGCCTTTCGATGGCAGAACACTACTGAATCCACTGCCATGGTCTTTAAGGGGAGAGTGTCATGAGCAAAGCGAGGCAGATAACCAGCAGGAGTAGAGGAAGAATACCCAAAGTTCTGTATTAAAACTATTTTCAAAAATGAGGCTTGTCTTCAGAAGACTGACTGCAGATGGAAATTTCCTTAGGTGATTTGTATGAAAAAAACACAGTGAAGTAGAGAAAAAGTGGATGCAGGAAGCTAAGTAAGGAGAGAGACATGTGAACTGGGCTGGGG